CAAGAGCAGAGAGGAGGGGCAGAACCCCCGCCCTCGACCTGCTGGCCACACTTCTCTGGATACAGCCCAGGATACGGTTGGCTTTCTGGGCTGCTAGCGCACACTGCCGGCTCATGTCCAGCTTTTCACCCACCAGTACCCCCAAGTCCTTCTCCTCGGAGCTGCTCTCAATCCACTCTCCACCCAGCCTGTCCTTGTGCTTGGGATTGCCCCAACCCAGGTGCAGGACCTTGCACTTGGCCTTGTTGAACTTCATGATGTTGCCACAGGCCATAACGTTTAACTCCTACCAAACAAATGTTTATTGTGTCAACACTATCATCTTTAGCCACTGTTCATATTGATATGCATTAGTATTTTCTAGTTAGACTTTGTTTTCTGGCATGGTTTCTAGATGAAAAATAATTGGCCAGAAGCAGTTTGCCAGTCTTTTTAATAAATGTAGTACTGCCTCTGCCATCATGTGTTGCTGTGGGAAATTAAAAGTTTTCTATTTTTTTCTCCCCATGATTAAGAATTCATAGATATTTTTCATTTTCTCAGGTAATTTAGCTGTTCAGAAAATACACCACATCTTTGTCATAAAGAAAAAGGCACCAAGTTTCTTTCGTTTCTTGTCCCTAACTGTTAGAGTAGTAGAGTAGTAGAGTCCCTCCTGTATTACAGTAAGACCAAGTTTGGGCTTGTACTTAAAGGATTAGAAAAAACAAGTAAATATTTACCATTAAAGGAATGCAAGAGTCAGTGAAAAGCCTGAGTCTATAATTAGTTTCTTGCATGCTGTTTCTAAAGTCAGCTGTACCGGTTTGTATACAAATTAATTCAGAACTGAAGGTTCTTAAAAGATGCATCTTATTCACTACACTGGATTTTTTAAATGAGCTTAGATACTTTGGATTGAGTGTATAGTGGACATTTAAGAAAAACTCCATTTGTAGAAATTTAAAATTCATGTTGTCATCTCTGCCACATGAATATGTATTTAACATTAACAAAGCATACGTATTTCTATTTCTGTTCACTTAGTGCACCACAGGAGATTTCTCTTTCCTCAGCAGAGCTTGAGGCATCACCTGTTCATCTTATTCAGCCAGTGGGCAGGACCTTTCAGCATTATGTTCACACCACTGGACCGTTACAGTGATAGAAATCATCAGATTACAAGATATCAGTATTGCGCATTAAAGGTATTAGAAGTTTCACCATCAAAATCAGTAATAGCAATTTTCTGGTCAAAATACAAGTAATTGTGGGTTTAATTTCCTTTTATTTCACATAAATATGAAGTGGCATACTTTATGCTAATTGTTTTGGAAACCAGAACGCATTTAAGAATTTTATTTAACTGTTCATTAATAGGTTATCAGATTCAGTGGGAGAATATTAGGCTCTGAATTTAAATATAGCACCAGTTCAGTATCACATGCTCATCTCAGGACTGTCTCCCACACTTGCCTAGAGACATGTTTAATAATAATAAAATGCTTTTGCACTAAAACCGCTTGCAACTCCCCCTATAAGTAAGCTGAGAAAATAATAGCTTATGTACTTCTATAAGCTACATTACCTGGTGTAAAACAATATTTGTAGAAGGATGCTATTGAAGCATATGTGTATTTTAATTGTTTTGTAGCTAACTTGTGAAGACTGGGTATAATGACAAAATGTATCTTGAAGAATGGGGAAACTGGGCTGCAGTATTCCTTCCAAAATGCTTAAACGGAGCATTATCTTGAATCCAGTAACATCAACAGCACACAGTTACTGGGTTCCAGCAAATCAGCTGTTACCAGTTTCACCATAGTTCCCTCAAAAATAAAAACAAGTGACATTCCTGTTAGCCTGGATTTGGGCTCAAATCATTCTGAAAGGTTCATTCGTGTTGCTTTTCCATGAAACTTAAGTTCCTTGTGTTTTTAGGCCATGTCGGCTGTGCTCTGCTGTGGACCGGTATTTGATAATGTTGGCCTTTCACCTGACGGGTATCTTTACAAATGGCTTGATAACATTCTGGCTTGTCAAGATTTACGTGTAAGTACTCAGCAAAATACAACACAGGAATCATTTTAATCTCTGTTCTGGATGAATAAAGAGTTTGTGACTATGAGAACTATGACTCTGTACATTCTAGTTTGAGAAGGAAACAATAGCTTTATGCAAGGTTCTAATAAAAAGTGTAATTATTTTAAAAGCATTTTAGAAGTAAAAGAATTAGTATTTCTGAAAATATAATATATATAAGCTTAAAAAAATACTTTCTGGCTTAATGTTGCTTGCAACAATTATTTAGGCCTTTCATCTGCTCATAAATGTTAGAAGTGGCACAAGCTCAAAAATACTTGTATTTCTATTTGGAGTACTTCCACCCACCTGCTTCAAGTTTCTGTGCAATGAGAATGTAAAACCCTTCCTGCTTGGTCACATAGATGCTGGTGAAACAAATCAGGGTGAAAGTGAGTGGGTAGATCTTCCAAAGAAGTCAAGAGGATAAATGGTTCTGGAGAGGAAAGAAAGGATTTTTTTTTTTTCGGTTGTGAGGTAGCTAGAGGATACATGCTGTAGCAATGGTAATTGATTTGGAAAAAAAAAACCAAAAATATTGGACAAATTAAAAGAAAGAAGGGATAACTGCAGACAAAAATATTTTGGAAGTCAGATAAGATTCTGGAATGCTAGTAGGGGTGGAGCTATAAAGATATGTATAAGTGGTATGTATAGTTTAAATTCTTATGGATGTGGGAAGGAAACCTAGAATATGAGAAAGTAAGAGAGATACTTTTCCTCCTGACATGTTTTCATTATCATCAACAAATACTATATCACTGTGTCTAATTGATCTTTGGCATATACCACTCAGAAAGTAACTAGGGACAAAAACTACCTCTCTTTTAAACTTCTCCTCTTGAAAAAACAAACTTGGATACTGTAGGTGAAATTTGTTTCCCCTAAGCTAATCACTGTAATTCATGATTAATCACTGTAATGAAGGACTGCAACTGAACTGCATTGCCTACACAGCTTGTTCACATTTAGGAGATGAAGATCCTACTCTGTCCGTTAACATTACATAACATTTGCAGTCTTTACAAGTAGTTAACTACACTTGGTGACAGGATGTTAATAGGCATTAGTGTTTGGTGTTGCAGTTCTGTCCTCTGCTGAAGAATCACGAGGGCGTAGTCCAAGCCTTAGCTGTCTGTAGGTTATACAAGGATCAAGAGATGCAAGGTCTGTAGGGAGAGTTGTTAGATTGCTTGATGTAGTTGGATTAAACACACAAGTTTTCGTACCCCCAGGCTTGGAAAAGAGATTTTTCTTTGTCTGCCTTGCTTCTGTATTAGTTAAAAGAAGGATAAACTTGAAAATGTGTCACTTTTTGAAACTTACATAAAGTAGGAAATAAAAGTTTAACAAATCAGTTAACCAATGCACATGGAAGTTGCCCAGGAACACCTATCAAGTGTCTTAGATTTTTCTGAGGATTCTGCTCTTGTCTGTGCCTGGTTTTGGAGACCTCTTTTGAAAATGTATTTAATTTATCTGGTCTCTGTACATATAATTTTCTTTCAAGTGAGCAGTATTGAAAACTGAGTCACATTTCAACTGCGTTATCCCTAAAATAAATTTATGATAAATTTTCAGATTTCTTTTTACTTATTTTGAATACTGCATTTTTCTCTTGTTTTTCCTATGTCACACTGAGAATTGCAGAGAATGAACATACCTGATTTCACCAATCATGTTTTGACATGTGCTTATATATGCCCAGGTTCATCAGCTTGGCTGTGAAGTTGTAGTCCTGTTGCTTGAACTAAATCCTGATCAGATCAATCTCTTCAACTGGGCTATAGATCGATGTTATACTGGATCATACCAGCTTGCCTCTGGATGTTTCAAAGCCATTGCAACTGTGTGTGGAAGCAGGTATTAATTGATCTATTAATCTACACTTTCAAATGTAAAGGAAAATGAAAGTTCAGCTTGTTTTGTAAAGAATTGCTAGCCACACTCTTACATTATGTCCTTTCAAACAGCTCTCGGGGACTCTTATCACTTCATGTCTGTGATTCTGAAAATTCTGAAAAGTGATGTGCTTCGTAGAAGATGCTCTTAATATATATATATTTGAAATCTATGGCATTTTTATGCTTTCTTTTCTCAGAAAGATACAAACTAACCATGTCGTGTTTTAACTCGGGCTAGCA